GTAGATCTCAGTTCTACTGCCCTTATCCGGAAAGAAAAACAGAGGGACAAACTTATATTCATAAGCTGGCTTTCTAATCATTCCAAAGGAAATCTTCAAGAAAACCATCAACTCGGATCACTCCTTCAGGCTCAGGGAATGTATCATTATGTTTTGGCACAAAATAATAAAAAAGGGGACCATGGGAAACTTCCCACTGTACACGGGATCTCTTAGCTTTGGGGTTTGCTTATTTTGATGATGGCTCTAAAATTCATGCTGCTAGACATGAAGGCAAATTCCCTTCGCCCTTTCCTGCCCCACCCACATATCCACATTTATTTAGCATGCAAGAAAGTTGAGTTAATTTTCCACAAACAGTGCATCATTATCCCTGAAGTGCTTTATGGCTTTAAAAAAAAAAATAAGTATAATACACTTTTTAAACATCTCTTACCCGGTAAAGTGGGTCTATGTGTTTACAGATTGTGACTGGCACACCATAGACAAGTTTAATGTGTGCTGTGATTAATGGTCCATCCAAAATATACCAAGGTCACAACAAGTCTTGCTCGGTCCCCCAACCATGGGGAGAGATTAAATTGTTCACTTAATCTTCTGAACCTTAACCACCTCATTTGAAATAAAAAAAAAATAGCTCTTAGCCTGAAATATGGCTGTACAGCTCAAACGGCAGTTACCCTGAAGAGGCTTTGAAAATTACAGGGCACGGTGTGAGTCTGAATTAGAGCATCACTCCATGAAAAATTAATAGTAACGATAATAATAAAACAATGACAATCATAGCTGATAAGATTGTTCTCTGTCATCCATGAGCAATACCAACAAAGAGTCACAGTGTATGTGTGAAACTGGATGACACTGAACCATATAGTATATACTATATAAATTAGGCACAGCAAGAGAGAAAAAGCAGCAACTAAAAACAAAATAGAATAATTATAAAAATATACACTGATGCTGCAATATATGGCTTTTTGTATGTAGTAGGATTTTCTAGAGGAACAAAATCTAAATAAACTATATGTACAATGATACAGAGGGATTTATTAACTAGGCTCAGAGCTGGAGGAGCCCATACCTGCAGGACCAGAGGCAAGAGACTTCACAGTGCTGGTCTATGTCCTGCAGAGTTGGAGGACCGAGGAGATGCTCAGCCCAAGATGAAAACCTTAGAACAACAGGGATCAAGGGCACAGCCCCGGTCCAAGGTCAAAGGCCTGCAGGTTTCCTGGAGATTCACCCTAAGAGTCTGCAAGTGAAGGTTAGAGACCAATGTCCAAATCTGATGGTGAAGACTGGAGCCCTTCCAAAATGGCCACATTTCCTTCTTCTTTCCCTTTTATTCCATCCAGATTATTGGTTGGTGCCACCCACATCCGGGGTGGGTCATCCCCACTCCATTTGTGGGCCAACATGTCAATCATCCATGGACACACCGGCACTGTGTTTTACTAAAGGGGTGCGGTGGTTCTTAATGCCCTTGAGGGGAAGTACTTTGCAGCTTCTCTGAGCCATGGACATCACTATTCTTTTTCTTTGTGGCCATTATTAAGGAAAGGTGTGAGGAAGGAAAGAGAAAGAAATAGAGGAGCTGTGGACGAAAGTATGGCAATCTAGGCTACACCCCTAATGATGTCCTCATCCAACCACGCCCCACCTCGAAATGTAAAACCTTTGGAGAACAGCTCCATCTAAGTCATAACATCCACGAACCAGCTGAGCAGGAACCAATGCATCTGGTAAATCTTTTCCTCCAGAAAAGGCCGGGAGAAGCTTCCATGAGGAGCTGGGTGCAATTCCAATGTGCCCCCTGCCCCAAAATATGTCTATATCCTCACCTGCAGAATCTGGGGCAGGGCCTGACTGGAAACAGGGTCTCTGCAGAGGGAACTCATGGAGGCTCTGGAGTGAAGGCTATCTTGCCTCAGCCTGCTAAATCCAATGGCAATGTCCTCGTGAAAGACAGAAGAGGAGATGCAGACACAGAAAAAACTGTGAAGACAGAGGCAGAGTTTGGAGTGATGGGATCACAGCTCAAGGTCACCTGGAATCCCAGGAGGAAGCAGAGGCAGGAGGGTCTGCCTAGGAATCTGTGGAGGGAGTATGGCCTGGGACACATTGGTCTCAGACTTCTAGGCTCCAGGACTGGGAGGGAATAAATACTTGTGGTTTCAGCCACTAGGTTGCGGTCAATTGTTATAACTCCCTGAAGTCCATCCTCCTGGTGTCTTTGACAGCTTGGAGCCATCTATTAGTTCCAGAAGCCTGCAAAGAGGAACATTCTGTAGCATGAAGATTCGCCAATCAGTGCAGGTGATAACAATGTGACACCCAGAAGAGCTGCTCCCTCACTGTGCTGTAAAAATGTTCAAGGGCCAAAGAGCCATTTGGGGAGGTGTCTGAGCAACAGTCGCTCAGGAGGGCTCACCTGCCTTTGTGGTTTTCACCATGGGGTATCAATTCTTGTTGGCCACAGGGGACTACTGCTAGGTGGTGCACCTTCCCCCACTTTTGGAATTTCCCCACCTGGGAGGCTGGAGTCTGGCATGTCCAAGGTGTGGGAAATCCGTTGTTGGTCTAGCATGTCCAAGGTGTGGGAAATCCGTTGTTGGTCTAGCATGTCCAAGGTGTGGGAAATCCGTTGTGGGTTCAGTGTGTTACAGACTGAACAGACTGGGGATTTTTTTTTCCCAGGCCCTAAGTCTACCCAGCTCCCTTGCCTCTTGAGCAGCATTTTCTATGGCAGACCTGCTCTCCAGGGTGGTGATCTGGAGAGGGTTTTGTTTTGCAGCAGGGGCCTGGGAGGCATCAGGGAGTGAGAAGTGTTAGCTGAGAATTTTGCTTGTGCACACACATTTACAAGCACAAAGAGCAGATGTGAGCAGTCAGCCCTTCAGGGGAGGGAAGAAAACAGCTCCAGCTCTCTGTTTTTCTTACAGTACTGTACGTGGAACCTAGAGGCTCACCCTGAGTTATAGCTTCAGACCTTTGCGCATTTTGATTTTGAGACAGGATCTCTCTAAGTTGCTCATGTGCCCAGGCTGGGTTTAAACTTGCAATCTTCCTGCCTTGGCCCCCGAGACAGGGATCTTTTAGTATATTCTTTATAAGTAAGGGAGCAACTATATGTGACTCCAATAGATGGTCAATTCAGATCAAACACCGTTTTTTGAGGGGGAAAAAGGTGGTTTAAGTGCTTCTTGCTGTAACTATGCCACAAAGTACTGAGTAGCTGTGATGGGGACAGTCCACCTTTGAAAGTGTTATATATTAGTGTTTCCTAGCGCTGCTGTGCCCACCCCAAAACAGGACTTATCTTCAAACAGAAATGCATCCCTGTGCAGTCCCAGAGCCCCAAAGACTGAGAACAAGGTGTCCCAGACCGCGCTCCATCCACAGGCTCCAGGGAATACCCTCCTGCCTCTGCCTACTCCCCAGGCTCCAGGCGGCCCTGGGCTGTGGCCCCATCACTAGTCTCTGTCTCTGTCTTCACAAGGCTTCCCTTCTGTGTCTGTGTCTTCTCTTTTGTGTCTCATGAGGATGTTGCTGTTGAATTCAAGAGACTGAGACAGGAGGGTCTCACCTCCAGAGTCTCCATGAATTTTCCCTGCAGAGACGCTGGCCCCAGATCAGTCCCTATTTGTAGTTTTTGAGGGATAGAACATAAATATAAATTTGGGGATCAGCATTCAAGTCACAAAAATTGTATTCAGTTCCTTGTTGTGTGTATTTACCAAGCACATTTTCTTCCAGGTAGCTGTGCTGTCACCCAATGAGCGTGTGATCATGTTGGGGGACCGTGTTGCTTTTTGTCTCATGTGGGAAAGTAACCCTGGATCATGGAGAATGTGTGTCTTGGCATGAGAGACTTTACCACCTATCTATCTATCTATCTATCTATCTATCTATCTATCTATCTATCATCTATCTATCTATCGATCTATCTATCTCTCTATTATCTATCTATGTCTTTTCTGTATCTATCTGTATGCATTATGCACAAGTCACCTACCAAGGCGATCATGCATTTGTGTGTATCAACCATCTATGTATCTATTACCTATTTGTATCTGTTAATCATCTACACCTGTCATCTTTGTGTAATTATCTACCCTTCTGTAATCGTCTATGTATTTATCTATCACCCATCCTATATTACCTCTGATATATGTTTTCATGTATCTAATCTTATCATGTACCTATCAAACTTCCATCTGTATATCTCTCAATTGTGAATCTGTAATCATGCATCTATCATACATCATCTATGCATCAAATAGTCATCTATGTATTTATGTGATCCATCTGTATATCTAGCCATAGAGCATCAGTCTTCTACCTATGTATATTGTTTATCTACTTATGTACCTGTTATATAGCTATAATCAGGCATGTATCAATCACCTATCAGATATAATTTATCCTAGGTAACTACAGGCCATCTATACATCTATGATCTGTCCATATTATATGCTTCTTCATGTTCTGTTTATCCATATCATCTATATATCTATCAATTTCCAATTTATCTATGGCCATGTCTGTATCTATCACCTATCTATCATAAATCATCTGTGTATCTCACAGTCAGCTTTGTGTCATATATCTGTGTTACCTCCCTGTATATCTACCCATACCATATCAATCTTCTACCCATATGTGTACCCCCAGATGTGTGTGTTTTGGCCCCCTACAAAACAGAAAGAGAAGGAAAGGAAAGGAAAAATCCCCAAAGGAATTCCAGCAATACTTCCTTCCATTCTCATTGATTATTTGATTTGTGTCCAAATGGAGAGGGTCAGACCTTGCTGTCCTGCCTGTCAAAGACCTCCTTGGAGCCCCTCCACTGAAATTTTGACTCAGTTTCCTTGCCTGTTAAGAATGTGTAGGCAATAGAATAAGTGAAATATAGGGAATACAAGGAATTTGTTTTCAGCTGCTCTTATTGATACCCCAAATTCATTAGAAATTTAGCCATCAGAAATATCACACAGGGATTTGGAAAATATTACTTTATTACCAAATGTACAGTGAGTGGGCCTTCAAAATACAGGAAAGCAGCCATGAAAATAAGAGCTCTCTCGTTGTGCATGAGTATGGAACAATGCCCACAGCTGAGGGGAGGGAAATTGCTTGGACCACACAGAGAGCTTTGGTCCTACAGAGAAGTTTCCAGGCTTTTCTGGAAACTTCTGTATTTGGTTGTGTGAGCTTATGACTTACGTTTTCCTTTCCTCTCACCTCCTGTCCCCCCTATAGACCACAGCTTTCAACACTGATTTTACACACAAGGATATTCAACATCCCAGCCTGGGAGAAGGAACCTAATAGTGGTTATTGCATTTGAAGGAGATTGGAGAGAAATTTGGTTTTTATTTTTTATTTTTTCACTAATTGGATTTTCATATCTGCTGTCATGTATCCAAGTCTTGTAAAGACCAATAATTTATTATTTTTTAATGAGATAGAAAGTATTTCCCTTTCTAGTCTCATCATCTCATTAGAAGGAAAAATATATATATATATTTATATATATAACAGTATACAAAAAGTGACTTTCAGGGTGAAAGAGTTCTTTCATCTAAAACAGTAGCTGTAAAGCATGGAACTGAGATTTAAACAAAAACAATGATCACCATGGTCTTAAGACCTTATTGGACACACTGCAGGTTTGAGGCCAGGGACAACGTAACAGCAACTGAGTTGTTCTAGAATGTTCCATCATGTGAAAGCTGTGGTGGGTTAGCTAGTTGAGGAGTCTTCCATGGGGTATCAAGGCACTGCTCATTGAGGCAGTTTGCTTTCAGAAAATGCTCCTGAAATATCCTACAGATACTCATGGAGAGAGGCACGTGACGTTTGCACAATTGCAAAATTTCCTGGGATCCTGTGTCCCAGGAAAGGCCAAGGGAAGTGCCCTGGAAAGGCGGGGGTTCATGGTATGCTGTAAACATAGAAGAAGGTTCTCAAGGAGTCCTCCTTCCTGCTGTCTGTAGAACTTCCTGGGTCACCGAACCAAGGTCAAGGCTAACCCCAACTTGGAAAACACACACAAGGAGCCTAGGTCAGAGTCAATCTCATCTGTAAACCCAAGGTCGACCTCTATCCTGGCCCAAAAGGTCTAGATCAAGGTTGACCTCAACCTGGAATCCAAGCAACCTGAGTCAAGGCCAACCTCAACATCAAACTCAAAGAGCTTAAGCCATGGTTGGCCTTATCCTGAAGACCAAGGAGTGTAGGTCAAGGTTGACCTCAACCTCTAACCCAAGGACCTAGGTCAAGGTTGACCTCAACATCTAACCCAAGGAGGCTAGGTCAAGGTTGACCTCAACTTGTAACCCAAGAGCTTAGATCAAGGTTGACTACGTGAAATCTGAAGACCTCAGGTCAAGTTTGACCTCAGTTTCAAAGTCAAAGAATGTCAAGGTCAAGGTCAACCATATCCTGAAATCTAAGCCACCTAAATCAAGGCTAATTTCAAACTCAAGCCCAAGAAGTCTAGCTCAAGGTCAAGCTCAGCTTCCAACACAAGAGGCCAATTCAAGGTTTTAACTTGAAGCCAAAGGCGTTTACATTTGGACTGACCTCTACTTCCCACACAAGGAGCTGAGGGTAAGATCTACCTCATCCTGAAAACCAAGGAGCTCAAATTAAGATCAACTTCAACTCCAAAGCCAAGGAACTCGAATCAAAGTGGACCTCAACTTGAAATCCAGGGATCTTAAATCAAGGCAAACCCCAGCTTGGAACCCAGCAGGGGCTAATGTGCGCTGTGAATCCCTGTGGCTTCCAAACCGAGCCCTGGATTTCCTTCCAAATGGCACACTGTGGTCCCTTCCCACAGGAGGACCCTGTGATCCACCTTGCTGCACAGCTGTCTCAGTAGACGTGGACGTAGGTGGTTTTGGAGTCCGTTCCCAGGATGTTTTTGGCCGTGCACTTGTAGAAGCCGGCGTCCCTCGGCGTGGCTTGCTGAATAGTCAGTGAGCCCTGCGGATGCAGGAACCTGTTTCCGTACAGACGGGCCTGTGCTCCCGCCTTCAGGTGCGACTTATCCGGCAGCTCCCATGATATCTCAGCTTTGGGGATCCCCATGGCCACACAGCTCATCTTTACTGTCCCCCCGGGCCTGGTGTAGATGACGGGCATGGGCTGGCTGGTGATACGGGGAGGATAGGCAATGACAATGACGGGAATGGTCACCGCGGAGGAGCCGTATTCCGTCTGCACCCTGCACGTGTAGGTTCCCCTGTCGAACACTGAGGCCTCCCGCACAGTGAGGGTGCCATTGTCCAGGACGGAGAAGCGCCCGAGCGCCTGGGGGCTCTCCAGCACCATCCCATTGGGCAGCGTCCAAGAGAAGCGGCCCCGCCAGGGGCCACCAGGGAGGGCGCAGTGCAGATTCAGGCTCTCGCCGTTGACGATGCTTACCAGGTTGTGGTACTGGTTGCTGGGCTCAGGCCTGAGTCCCACGTTCAGGGACACCAGCCTCTCCGTGTGGCCGGCGGCGTTGCGGGCCACACAGCGGTAAGCGCCTGCGTCCACGGGGGACAACCCCGTGATGTGCATCATGCCGTCACCTTTGTGGTAGAACCTGTGCAGCCTCTGGCCGCTCCGCAGCTCCGTGCCATTGGGCAGCACCCACAGCAGGGTAGGCGGTGGGCTCCCCCGGGCCGAGCAGTTGAGGCTGATGGTGTGGCCCGCTGTTGCTGTGATCTTCTCACTCACCGGGTCATGGAAGACTGGCTTCTCCACCGGCTCCAGGACGGTGAGCTGTACCATCATCCTGGCTTCTCCGCCCTCGCTGCGGGCGATGCATGCCAGCTGCACGGAGTCACTCTTCCTGAGACTTCTGATGTCCAGGGAGCCATTGTGGTGCACGGTGACCCGGTTCCCGTAGTAGGGGGCGGGCAGAACCACGCCTTCTGGGAAGGCCCAGAGCACCCGAGGAGGCGGGATTCCCTGGGCTTTGCAGTCGATGAGCTTGCGGCTCCCGGCCGCTGCGATCTCGCGCACGGTGGTGATGGCATCGGGGTTCCCGTTGATCTTGGGGGGCTCGACGTGGACATGGACCCACACGGTGCTCCTGTCTTCTCCCGCGCTGCTCCTGACCGTGCAGGTGTAGTTGCCGCTGTCCGACCGCTGGGCTTTCTGGATGACGAGAGTGCCGTCCGGGTAAATCTGGTATTTCTCAGAGGACAGAGGGATCACCCTGTTGGTCGGAGAGAGCCAGGTCACCTTGGCCACGGGCTCACCTTGGGCTTCGCAGGACAGGCTGACCATGTCCCCGTAGGACACGTGTGCCGTGGAGTAGCTCTTGTTCCGGAGGGCCGTGCGCTCGGCCACCACCTTGACGTGCACCCGCTTCTCGTCTTTGCCCACCTGGTTCTCCGCGAAGCAGGTGTAGTCGCCTTCTTCCCGCATGCCCACCTCGTTGAAGTACAGGGTCCCGTTGTTGAACAGCACGTAGCGCTTGGTGCGGCCCCCGCTGTCGTCCGACTGCATGAGGGAGTTGACCAGGCTCCCGTCGGGAAGGCCCCAGGAGATCTCGGGGTTAGGCAGCCCCGTGGCCACACAGTCCACTTTCAGGTCGCCGCCGTACACCACCTTGTGGTCCTTCTCCTCCTTGTACTGGATCTTGGCGGGTTTCATCACCACGTTGACCTCCAGGACCACGTAGTCGTCCCCGACCTGATTCCGCGCCACGCACAGGTAGTCGCCAGCGTCTTTGTCGGTGACGGATTTCACCACCAGGGTCCCATTGCTGAAGGCCCTCACCCTGGTGTCAAAGCTGGGGGAGACAGGGAGAGAAGCGATCAGGTCTCCTGACTCGGGGTCATGGGGATTGGGGAATAAAATGGTGCTCTCTGCTGGGACAGCAAACTTTAGAACAACTTGCAGCGTTGCAAAAATCCCTGCAGTAGGAGCTGTTGTGTGTTTCTAGCATAGAGATGCAGTGGCTGAGGAGGAGGCGCTTGCAAGACCAACTTCCCTGAGTTGATCGGATGCAACTGAGCCCCAGCACTTAATTTTCATTCTGGTCCCAGATCTCTGTGCCACCCCCAGTGTCAATCAGAGATGGGAAGTAAAATCTGTGCTCCAGTGAAAGGATCTAGGATTGGCTCCATGGATGGTGTGCTCCTGTGCTGAATTATTATGCCCTACCCTATAAAAGTGGACAGTTGCTCTGTGTGTATCAAAAATATAATGTAAACAGTGTGACTGTTCTTTTAAAACTTTTATTGGACCTATAAAAATTGTACGGATTTATGAGGTGCTGTTTCAATACACAGTGTTTCATGATCAGAGCAGGGTACAATGTTTAATGATTAAATCCGGGTAAACGTACCTGCCTCCTTTTCCAATAATCATTGATTTTTTTTTGTGATAAGAATACTCAAAATTCCTTTGTCTAGCTTGATTGTTTTGTTTTGTTTTGCTTTGCAAGTGTGTGTGTGTGTGTGTGCGTGTGTGTGTGTGTGTGTGTGTGTGTAATTTTAGAGACAGGGTTTTACTTTGTTGTCCAGGCTTGTATTGAATGCACTATGTAGCCCAAGCTGGCTTTGAACTCATGCTGATCCTACTGCCTCAGCCTCCAAAGTGCTGGGGTGACAGACATGCACCACTATGACCTGTCTGTCCTACTTTTTGGAAATGTGCAGGGTATCATCACTACCTGCAGTCACCCTCCCGTGCAATAGCACCCACAAATATTTTTCTCCTACCTATAAGTTCCTACGCATTTCCCATTTCCTCTCCATTCTTCCCTTGGCCTTGTTCTTCCCAGTTTCTCGTGAAACAATCCCAAAGATCAACAAATGGAAGAGTTGGTTTTTCAAAAGAATGAATGAGGCTCTTCATGAGACCAAGCAAGGTACAGAGACAGAAAACCCCCAGCCATAAAAGCAGAGCGGGAAAGGAATCTGAGTCCAGCTGAAAGGATTTAGGATTGAACCCTTCAAACACCGTGTTCATGTGCTGAATTATTACACCGTACCCCATAAAAGCGGGCAGTAGCTCTGCGTGTAATCAAAAATATAATTTAAAAAGAGAGACAGAAATACAGAAGGCACTATGACTAAGAATTCTCCTTACCAACAGTTTCAGAAACCTAGAAGAAGGGGAATCAGCTTCCACAAAATGCACAGTGGATTTTGAGCAGGAGGATTACTTACAGATGTGCAAATAACATACTGTGGATTGGCCTGGCCAGTGCTTCAGGGAAATGAAATGCACTGATGATTTCAGTTCCTGTGTGTGTGTGTGTGTGTGTGTGTGTGTGTGTATGCTTGAGTGTGTTCAAGTATTTCCATCACAGCATAGAGCTTTTGTAATGACAAAATCAGATGTGAAAACCTAGTACGTCTGGGTCTCCACTGAGGAATTTTGTTTTTCCCTTTTAAAGACAGAGGTGTGTGGGAGGAAGGATTTCAAGACCTTCCTTGTGTGTGTGATTTTTTTTCTGTTTTTTACTAAATTCTGGGGTGTCCCAGAGCCTTTCAGAGCTGATATTTTAAATAACCCAGGGGCAAGAGCTGGAAGCCCCCAACTCTAGAATTTTCCATATGGGAATCTCAGTCATATGTATTTTCTCACTGTGGGATGGCAGAAGTGGGGTTTGAATTTTAATCATTTAGTAGTTCCTAAGTATAGTAATATTTAGGATAAAACTGGGGATTGTATTACATTATCATACTTTTCTAATTTTTTTAAAAAATTTTGAGACAAAGTCTTATTATCTCACTTAGTTGCTCAGGCTGGGCTGGATCTTACGACCCACCTGCCTCAGCCTCCCAGAGTGCTAGGGCTAGAGAGTTACACCATTGCCCCTGGCTGAGCCAGCATTATTTTCATGGCATATGGCCTGAACTGTGTTCTACATCATAGGTATTATACCTGCATACCTATATAACTATATAGCTGTGTAAAAGCTGCCCATGGTAAAACTCAACCTGGTCATTTCTAATGACAGCAACTACCGACACAGCCCAGACCAGCTGTATCATACTTGTAACCGAGAGTCATGCGCAAACCTTGGTAAGCACTGAATAGGTTTGGAGCATGCAAAGATATTTTAATGGGCTTGTAACTGGACTTCAAAAGTCTGCCCAGTAGCCTGCACCTCCATGCACTCTGAAGCTGCTGGGGTGATGATCCTTAGCCCCTGCTAGTTCAGAGTCAAGGCAGCAAATCTGAAACACACACACACATTCTTTGTGCACAGTGAGACGGATTTGGCTGGCAGAAGGGAAGTTCCACAATGCTGACACACAGAGAACTCACAGTGGTTGTTTCACCGCATTTCTCTCTGAATATATTGAGTTAGGGTTTAGTAAAAGCAGAGCCATAGGAACAATGGGTGGTGACGTATCCGGGGTCCGCAGGGAGTCACTTCTAGCACGTGAACTCTGCGGGAAAAGTCAGCCCGGAGGCAGCCAGCATGTGGTTTGGCTGTGGAGATTCCAGGGGAAGCCAGCTACAGATTTAGAGCTCAGCACTGCCCTGCACAGAAAGGCTCAGGAAAGATGAGACCGAGATGCCGAAAGGGTCCTTGATCACGGACTTGGGACTCACCCCAAGACTGCCTATCGCCTGGACTGCTACAGATATGAAATCCCCGTATGCTAGCTAGCTTTTCGCGTCTGCAGCGCCTTTGGTGTGTACCTTCGCTGCCTCCCTTAGTTCTTGCAGCTCTTTGTACAGGGGCACTGGTCTTGGGGGTTTCAGAGGTAACCAAGCCTTCTCCACCTTGGCCCCGCCCCTGTCTGAAGGCGCTGCAAGGTGCTGCACCTGTGAACGGTTTCCGCATTCTCAGCTGGCGGAGGAGAGAGGAGAAGCCCTGGTCTCCACCCAGGAGAATCGAGGAGCAAGCTGCCCCCCCCGTGAAATTGGATGCAGCTCGAGGCAGTGCCAGGGGGCCCTACAGGGGCGTCATCCAGGAATGGAGAACCACACCCAGGAACATATGGAGTAATAGACAGACGTCAAACTGGTTGATGGTAGGAACACAGAAGGGAAGCACAGGCACACTTGCTCAGACAGACATAGAGGACACATAGATGGTAGATAGATGAGGATAGATGATAGACAGATGATAGATGCATGGATGATAGATGAAGATAGATGGATGATAGATAGATGAGGATAGATAGATGATAGGCAGATGATAGGTGGATAGACAGATGATAGATGCATGGATGACAGATGAAGATAGATGGATGATAGATAGATGATGGATGATAGATAGATAGATAGATAGATAGACAGATAGATAGATAGACACACAGATGGATACATGGTCTCTCCTGGAGGGTTCTCAAAACCACGGGCATCTGGGGCTTGGTGTTCTCCTTAGAGCTGTACTGTGCACTATGGGATGTGCAGCAGTATTTCTCGGCTCCACCTCCAGGAGTCATGGCTAACCTCCACCTATTGTAAGGAAAAATCTCTCCTGATATGGACAGATGTGTCTTAAGTGACACCATCATCTCCAGTTGAGAATCATCACCATAGAATGGGTAAAGACCTATAAAAACTGGATGGATGCATGGATGTATGGATCCACGCATGGATGGATGGGATGAATCATTGGGTGGATGGATGGATGGGTAGATGGATGGATGCGTGGGTGGGTGGATGGGTGGATGGATGGTTGGGTGCATGGATGGATGCGTGGGTGGGTGGATGGGTGGATGGATGGATGGATAGGTGAATGGGTGGATGGATGGATGGGTGGGTGGATAGATGGATGGGTGGATGGATGGATGGGTGGATGGATGGATGGGGTGGATGGGTGGATGGATGGGTGGATGGTTGGGTGGGTGGATGGATGGGTGAGTGGATCGATGGATGGGTGGATGAATGGGTGGAATGATGGATGAGTCAATGGATGGGTGGATGGGTGGATTGATGGGTGAATGGGTGGGTGGATGGGTGGATGGATGAATGGATGAATGGATGGGTGGATGGATCAGTGGATGGATGGGTGGGTGAATGGATGGATGGGTGGATAGGTGGATGGATGGATGGTTGAATGGATGGATGGGTGGGTGGGTGGATGGGTGGGTGGACAGATGGATGGGTGGATGGATGGATTTGTGGGTGGATGGATCCATGCATGGATGGATGGGATGAGTCCTTGGGTGGATAGATGGATGGGTAGATGGATGAATGGATGGATGGATGGATGGATGGATGGATGGATGGGTGGATAGAGGGATGGGTGGATGAGTGGGTGGATGGGTAAGTGGATAGGTGGATGGGTGGGTGGATGGGTGGATGGATGGATGGATGGATGGATAGGTGAATGGGTGGATGGATGGATGGGTGGGTGGATAGATGGATGGGTGGATGGATGGATGGGTGGATGGGTGGATGGATGGATGGGTGGGTGGATGGGTCGATGGATGGGTGGATGGGTTGGTGGCTGGGTGGGTGGATGGATGGGTGGATGGATGGGTGGATGAATGGGTGGACTGATGGGTGGGTCAATGGATGGGTGGATGGGTGGATTGGTGGGTGAATGGGTGGGTGGATGGGTGGATGTATGGATGGATGGGTGGATGGATGGGTGGATGGATGGATGGACAGATATGTGGATGGATGGGTTGCAGTTGGGGAAGGGATACACAGATAGATATAGATATAGATGTATAAATGCACAGATAGAGGTAAATGAATGTCAGATAGAAATAGATACATGAATACTAGATGATAAATGCAGACACACAGATATGAAGAATGGATGAATATATAAGTGGGTGGATGACAGAGAAAATGATGGGGAGAGAGATACTAATTTTGAGATAGATGTAGATGGGTTTGTAGATAGGTGTATATAGGTGGCAGCCAGAAATGGATATACAGATAGGTGATGATATGATGATGACAGATAAATGATAGATAGTGGATGGGAGATTGATAGAATGAATAATAGATGGATAGATGGTAAATGGTACATGGCAAAAGGAAGGAAGGAAGGAAGGAAGGAAGGGAGGAAGGAAGGAAGGAAGGAAGGAAGGAAGGGGGGAAGGAAGGAAGGAAGGAAAGGATTTCTCGTACAGACTCTCAGCCTCAGCCCCGTGGGCATCTGGGGCCTGTGGTTCTCCGTGAGCTGTGGTAGGCACCGCAGGATGCTGAGCGGAGTCTCTGGGCTCCACCTCCAGGGCCAGGAGCAGGGCAGCCCAGAGTGAAAACACGAAATGTCCCCAGGCATTGCCAAATGTCACCTAAGGGCAAAAAATCACCCTGGTGATAAACACCACCCCAAACCTCTATGCTGGAATCTGGGCTTACTCGATCAGGAAGTGGTTTCCTTCACAGTTGAAATGCGTGTGCATTTTCCAGTGCACTTTTCCCTGAGAAAACTTTAGATGGTCTTTTTTTCCCCATAATTCCATTTGGTTGCTAAGGCATTTCACAATAAGGCCTGAAACTTGGACCTATTTTGTTGGTAACAGAACAAGAAGGTAAATGACATTGTTTTATCATTTCCTCAGATATTAGCTGAAATTAAATATAACCATTGTCTATTTTCCTTTGTTTTTGTTTCTTTGTCTGTTTCTCTCTTTCTTTCTTTTCTTCTCTCTCTCTCTTTCTTTCTTTTTTCTTTCTTTCTTTCTTTCTTTCTTTCTTTCTTTCTTTCTTTCTTTCTTTCTTTCTTTCTTTCTGTCCTTTCTTCATCCTTTCTCTTTTTGTGGGTTTGGACTGGGGATCATTAAGCGCCAGTGGCCATGCTAAACTATTCTCTAGCCCCAAACACAACCATTTAAATACATTTCTTAGTTCTCTCTGTGTGTAGCAGGCTAGTGAAGGAAAAAGGTCAATTTTATGTTCTAGATCTCTGAGATTTTTGTGTATTTGTTTTTGTTTTTGTGTTTAGCGTTCATGGAGCCCAAACCCAGAACTTTCCCAAAGAGCTACAACCCCAGCCCTTGTACAAATCTTCATTTATAGAAGCTGGGGCATGGTGGCGCATGCCTGTCATCCCGGCACTAGGGAGGCTGAAGCAGGAGGATTGTTGTAAATTGGAGGCCAGGCTGGGCTACAAAGTGAGCTCAAGGCCAGCCTGAACTGCATAGTGAGACCCTGTCTCAAAGAGACCAAAGAAAAAAGAATCTTCATTTATGCATATAACTTGATTGATTGATTATTTCAAAACGTGAGACCGCGTCTGGCTTTGTTGCCCAGGTTTGGCTGGATGGCACGTTTGATCCTCCTGCCTCAGCCTCCCAGCACGCTGGGATGACAAGCGTGTGCCACCACGCTGGGCCAGTAAATGCAACCTTTCCTTGCTTGTGTCTTTCTCCTGCAAGACGAGGACTCTTGCTCTGAACCCCACATTGCAGAAGCCCAGGGGCCAGGGGCAGGGGTCCCCTCCTACCTGAAGAGCGCGTCGATCATGCGCTTGGACGGCAGGCGCCAGAGGATGCGCGGCCAGGGGTCCCCTGAGGCGCTGCAGTGCAGCCGCAGGGTCCCCCCATAGCTGACGTCGGTCCTGCGGGGCGAGGCGCTGGCGATGCGCGCGTGGGCCGCGGTGCGCTGCACGGTGAGCTGCACTGCCCTGCGCGCCGAGCCCAGCGCGTTGCTCACCACGCACTCGTAGCGCCCGCTGTCCCGCGGCGCCAGGTTGCGGATGAACAACGTCCCGTTGGGGAAGACGAAGAGGCGGCCGTGCAGGAACTGCGAGGGGCGGATGTGGGCGCCCTGCGGGAGCACCCAGCGCAGGGCGGGCGCAGGAGCCGCCTCGGCCGAGCAGTGGATGTGGACGCTGAGGCCCGGGCGCAGCGAGATGTTCTCCGCCTTCTCCTGGCGGATGCGCGGGGGCAGCGCGGCCACCTGCAGCCGGATGGCCAGGCTGTCCGTGCCGGCCGCGTTGCTGGCCACGCACCTGTACACGCCGCTGTCCGCGAAGGACGCGTCCCGGATGGACAGGGTCCTGTTCTCGTGCAAGGTGACCCTGCCCTCTGCGGTGGACGCCGTGTGCCACACCCTCCCATCCGGGAAGATCCAGGAGATCTGGGGCGCCGGGGTGCCTCTGGCCAGGCACTCCACGGAGATGGTGTCCCCCAGGTGCACCGTGACGTCCTGGGAGGGGGCCGCCAAGATCCGCGGCTGCTGCACGGTGACGGAGAGCAGGACGCCCCTCTTGTCCACGCCGTGGGCGTTGCTGGCCGTGCACAGGTACTGGCCGCGGTCCTGAACCTGAACCCTGCGGATGAGCAGGGTCCCGTTGGCGAGGACCTCGAAGCGCTGGACACGCGTGCTGGGCGTCATCAGGGCACCTGGACGAGGAGGACAAAACCAGTCAAGGGGGGCAGGAACTGCAGGACCCCACGTGAGGCCTCAAAGCATGTGACTTCTAATTATTACTTTTATTAGTGTGCGTTTGTGGAAATCTGTATGGAGATTCCTAAAACAAGAAAAAGTAGAAATTCTGTTCCATCCAGCTATTCCATTTGGGTATCTTCCAGAAAGAGTTAAAGTCCTCCGAGGACATTGCTGCTGTAAATGCACCTTTGTGTATAGCAGCACACCTCAGAATAGCTGCCTCCTGGACGGTCCCCTATGAGCATCAGCAGATGAATGGATAAAGGAAATGTGTTTGCACACAGTGGAGTACTACTCTGCCAGGAACAAGATTAAACTTGAGTCACGTGTAGGAAAATGAATGCACCCAGAGACCATAACATTAGGTGAAATAAATCAGACACGTAACCTTCACTATCGCATGGTTTCTCTTACAGGAGAAACCCAAAGTGTAAATAAAGAACAAAATGAAAGATGGATAATAGGAAGTAGGGAGACATATCTTTCTCAAAGCAGAAGGAGGGAGGGGGAGGCTAGGGAAAGAAAAGGAATGAAAAAGGAATTAGCATGTGATATGAACATGTGCCAACTCCATACAAAGAATGTGGATGTCATGTACTGCTATTATTTTCTTTTTTTGCAATACAGGGAACTTGAACCCAGGACCTTCACATTCAATTGCATTCCCAGCCCCTTTTCTACAGAATATTTTGAGAAAGGCGTGGCCAGCCTGAACTCAAAGTCTCAACCCTCCTTCCTCAGCCTCCCAGACAGGGAGGATCATCCATACATGCCACTATGCTGGGATCACCATATCCTCCTAGCGATGCTCAAAATTGCAAAAGCAAACAGGAAAGAGAGCAGCTTTGATGGCCAAACCATCAGGGAGATGTTCATTAAAACCTCAGGGAGAGAGAACATGTCACTCTGCTCAGAGCAGCTGTGTTAAAGAGATGAACCACAGGCAGTATTGGTGAATGGGTGCTGCTGGACTTGTGCTGGTTCGTCTGGTTTGTTTTGAGAGACACCTAAGAAAAGTACTAAAGCATGGCTCTGGGTGGGCCATCAAGGCGTGACCTTAGGGACTATATCTGGTCCTTGGCAACATCCTCTCTGGCCCCGACCACCGTGATGTGAGCAGTTTTCCTCCCCCATGCCCACCTGCCGTGACGTTGGAGCAACCAACCATGGACTGCACCCTCTGCAGCGGTGAGCCAAAATTAACTTCTCCTGCAAGCTGTGGGCGTGAGATGCAAGGTTCAGAAACAGAAAACTGATCGATAACCTGAGACTGTGGGGAGAGGGGAGCTCTCTCGCACATTTTGCTGGAGGGAATGCAGGTGGTGGTGCCACTAGGGAACACAGTATTGAACATCCTTGAAAAATTAAACACAGGGGTACCGTACAATGCAGCCATCCCGTTTCTGCCTGTAGAGCCATGGGACTTGAGGTCAGTAGGTTGAACAAATGATTTTGCTTTCATATGTATCACAGTCATGTTCACAGTGGCCATGGCATAGAATCAACCCAGTTCCCTTGAATAGATGAATGGGTAAAGACAATGTGGTACATGTCCATGGTAGAATATTATTAGGCCATGAATAGGAAGGGAATTCTGTCATTTGTAAGAACATGGGGAAACCTGGAGAATATCATGTTAGGTGAAATGATCCGGGAGTAGGAAGACAGATACAGCATGACCTCACTTAGTGAGGGAAACTTAAAAAAAAAAAAGGTGAACTCATACAAAAAGACAAGCAGAATGGTGTTTACCGGGATGACAGGTTGATTAGGAAGATGTTGGTCCACAGCTGCAAATTTTTGGACGTGGGAGTAATAAAATGTCAGAGATCGATTCTACTCATGATAACGATAGCTAATAACAACGTAGTTTATGTGTGAAAATTGTTAAGAGAATAGATTTTAAGTGTTCTATCTACAAAAAGAATAGGAGGAAAATCTCACACCCATTCCAGCCCCAGAAAGGACTGTACATGGATCTCCGTTCTCGGTCGTCTATCCAACCCACCCAGCCTTCAGGCCCTGCCCCCTGTAACCATGGTTACAAGGCAGATGCTTCTGTGTCTTACCTGTGGAAACCTTTGTCCAGGTGATGAAGGGCTTGGGTTTCCCCGTCGCCTCACAGGGCAAAGCCGCATCTGACTCTGCAGTGACAGAGAGTGTCTGTGGGGACTTGGTGATAATTTGGGGCTTTTCTCCCAGCGTCCAGAATTTGGAAGCAGGAGGTCCTCTAGCAAAGATCTGTATGCTGTTGTCATGGGAACTCCCAGGCGACTGGCCGGGAGATGTCAGGGCGGGACCGGAGCTCCGGGTAGTGTAGACCAGGGGGCTGTTCTGGAAGTGAGTTGGAGGTGGCGTGGTGGTCCGGGACAGGTGCAGTACCGGGGGTGCTGGGGGCCCCAAATCCACATGAAGAAAGCCCTGAGAAGGAAACCTGCTATAGGGGCCAGGGGTGGGTTTTCTTTCCCCTGTTACTGGTGCTGGAGTGGTGGGTGTCTGGGGCTTAAGGGTGACTCTCAGCTGGGGGAAAGTGAAGGTCCTGTTGGCAAAGAAAGGGAATCTTCCACTGGAATAGTAGGGCGGTCTTGGCTTTGGAAGCTCCTGGATGGGGGTTCTCGGCTCGGGGATGTTATTATTTCCAAATGCTTTGGAATATCCATTGAACTGGTTTGTTCTTTGGTCGGTCAGCCTACCAGAGACACTAGGTTTGGACGGGTGTAATGGAACAGGAGGTGTCGTGCTGAGTAACTTTGGAGTTGTGAACGGTTTGTTCTCTGGCCAAAGCCTGGAGGGGTACGAAGTTATCTCTGGTTTGTTGGTGAAGTGACGAGGTGGTGGGAATGTTGTGACATATCTAAACGGGCTTTGGGTGGCCTTGGGTGGTGGCGTCCCTGTTTCCCTTGGTAGGGTGGGTTTTGCAGGGTCTCTGGCTGGTGGGCATGCTGTGTGGCCTTCTGCATGCTGGAGGTGACCCTCTGGACCCTGCAGGAAGCTGTTTGTGGTCCTGCCATCAAGCTGTCCCTCTGCCAGCTCTTGCTTTGCAGATTCATGAAATCTGTCCCAGTTGGGAGACGGGGTAGACAATTGTTTGGGTCTCCACTGATGCAGGACTCCCGGTCTGTTCTCTACAGGTGACTTGGTTTCAAGATTTCCCACCAAATTCAAGGAGATGTTTTCGTTGGAATCGGTCTGTGTAGGAGGTGCTCCTGAGGTAACAGGTACCGGCTTCACGGTGGTTGCCACTAAAGATGGAGCAGCCATGGGTAAGGATGAGATAGCTGCTTCCTCCACCCAGGCAAGAGTGGGGAGGGGACTCTGTGGTGTCGTTTCAGCAGGAATGTGGACCACCGTGCTTTCTCCAGGGGTGCTTTCTGCCAGACGTGAAGACAGCTCTATCGTCATGCTTGGGAAGGTGGTGGGAGACTTGATTTCAACTGGTGGGGCTGACATGGAGATGGTCACAGCTGGTGCCACTTGAGAAGTGGCATCCACACCCTCCAGCTCTTTAAAAAAAGAAGGGTCTGTAAAGCCTTCCTCTAGTCCAGTTCCAGGAGTGTCTGTGGTCGATGTCCCAGGCTTGGCTGTCCTGTAAAGATACCAGGTTGGGATTCCAGGGACACCCGTAGACAGAGTCTCAGCCTCAGATTCTCCCACTGTGGACACCGAGGGGTGAGGCACTGAGAATCCCTCATCATCAGGCTCACTGGACGAGAGCCAGCTGTCACTTCCATGACTATTAACATGGGTGACACCACTAGAGGTCATTTCTTCTGTATCTGCTACAGGTTGGTATGTGACCGGAACTGTCCCATGGGCTGTACGGTAAGGTGTAGGTGATTGGGGGGCAGTTGTCATATAATCTTCTAGTCTGATCACCACGTCTGGGTCTCCAGTTTCTGGAGGTGAAAGCAGAGTTTCTGAACCAGAAGTGATGGCTGGCTCACGTTCAGCTTCCGGTGAAGAGCTGGGCGTGGACACAGACATCTTTGGGGTCATTGCAGCCTTGCCTGGTCGGTGTTTATTGGGCCTCTTCCCTTTTCTTTTCCGAGAGGTCCCCCTGGATCCAGACTCTGCAGGCTTCTCCACATCCCACACCTTGGGCACATGAACGGTGGTGTCCACCCAAGAGGTGGGGATCGCAGAACTCTGTGCTGGCTCTGGAATCCTTGTTTCAGACAGTGGAGAAGGTGGGGTGGGAGAGGTCCCTGTGGGGGCAGAGATTGTCATTGGGCTTTGTTTCTGGCGTTGGCGAGATTTGTTGGGGCGCAGTCTCCTCCTCCCGCTGGGTCTCCTTCGGGAGGGCTGAGCGGGCAGCGCTGGCAGTGCACTGGCCGTTTGGCTTGGCTTCTCCTTTGCTCCTGCGGTGATTCCTCTGTGCAGCAGTGTTCCGTGTGTCACTTCCCTGGGCTGCATAGACGGAAAAGTCGTGCTTATGGTTTCCAGAGTGGTGTCTCCCATGCCTTGCCCTTCTCTCTCAGAATGTCTGGATGTGGAGGACTCTCCCCCAAAAGACTCCGTGCCTTTCTTTCTAGCTGGAACCCATGGAGTGCTTGGACTATTTTCCACCAGCAGGACACTGTCTGGTTTTTCTTGTCGATGTGACTGGGGTGGGACATCTTGTGTCCCTAAAGAGTAATTTTCAAATGATTCAGGCACACTTGAGACCTCTGCCCTCATGGTGGGAGGGAGGTCTTCGGAAGACTTCATGTCTAGTTGTGGATGAGTCTCCCCACCTGTGTAAAAATATTTGACTATCTGGGTCTCAGCTGAGGAGATCTTATCCAGTGGAGGCTCTTCCTCCTGCCTCCTGGGTTGTGGCAAGGGTTCAATGTTTACCGGTGTAGACCAAGTGTCTGTGGTTATCTGGTCATCGGTGGGCTCCTCCGTGGTCTTCACAGAAGCTGGCTCATGAACATCAGATACCAGGGTGGTGGCCAGCTCCCATGGGAGGTCAACTTCAGTTGGAGAGAGAGCCTCAGTCTTCGCCAGAAAATTATCATCAAGGTCTTTCTCATCCAGACGGAGGCCTGGAACGTGGGGCTCAGAGAAAATAACTCCTCCATGGCTGTGTTCTTGCCCCATCCCTGGGGAGGAGATGGTACTGGAACCCTGCTCTTCCTCACCAAAGATTGGTGCCTGTGCTGAAGATTCCTCCAGATCTGGATCTGGTGCTTCCTGCACGGGAGACACAGATGGGGGAGAAATGACAGGGGACAGGGACATCACTTCTGGACTCCCAGGTGGAAGCATGGTGGTGACAGTTTCCTGGGGCACTTCAGTGGCCTTGGGGAGAGTTTTACCACCACGCACTCTGGCCAGGATGTCTGCCCAGCGTTCTGGGTTGATCTGCTTGTTGGCTACATTGACCCTGCGCCGGGATTCGAACACCCTCCGGCCTTCTGCGATGTTGCTCTCTTGGTGTTTCTCCGAGGGCTTCCAGATTTTTAGTTTCCTCCTCGCCTTCTTGGGCGTCCTACCCCCCAGGGTGCCCTCGACCTCTGCCTTAATGAAGACCTCTTGATCCTTCGGATGTAGGCTTTTCCTGGATGGCTTCTCCTCATCTCCTATCCCGGATCCTCCTTCATCCTCCGCGATGTCTCCCCGGGTTCTAGAGTGCGCTTGGGCACCTGGGCGTCTGCCTCTTTTCCCTGGGCGCCTAGCGCCTTTCCTCTTCACGGTGATCCCCACGGTGAGATGGTCAGCCCCGTGCAGGTTGACGGCCACACATCTGTAGTAGCCACTGTGGCTGGCTTGCACACTCGCAATGGAAAGAGTTCCATCTGCCAACATGTACGTGTGCGATGCATTGGCCAAGCCATCAATTATCCTCTTACTGGGCAGAATCCAGCTGAGGTGGGCTTCTGGGATGGCAGATGCGCTACAGGGAAGCATGACGGGCTCCCCTGGGTCTTTCTCGATGGTCACCACAGATCCTTCGGGGGGCCGAACGGTGGGTGCCTGCACCAGCACCCTATACACCATCTGGTCTACCTCATCCCGCACCTCAGCGATGCATTTGTACAAACCCGAGTCCGAGGGCTCCATGCTCTTGATCTTCAGCCATCCGCTGCTGAGGACGGAGAATTTGCCATCCGGATCTTGCAAGGGAGCCTTGAGGATGGAACCGCTGGGAAGCACCCAGGAGATGGACGGGCTTTCGGAGGCCCTCACCTGGCAGCTGAGCTGGGCAGGCACCCCTTCCAGGACGGTCTGAGCTCTGTGTGCCTCACCACTGGGCTCGATCATGACCCAGCTTCTACTCTGAGCTTGCACAATGTCTTTGGCTGATATGGTTTGTGAATACTGGGCAGAATAAGACAGCAGGACCTTCTTGGCGGTGCTGTGGCGCCGATTTAGCTGGATGTCGATGGACTGCTGCAAGACCCACTCGGGCTGGGCCGTGATCTGGGCCCGGACACCTGTGTAATAGAGGGCGTCCTCATCGTCAACCTGACGGTACTGATAGCTCACGCCGGGACCCTTGCGGAGCAGGACTTCGCGGGTCAGCTTCACGGGGACCTCACTGTAGTACGCGATGAGCTTCCAGAGCTTCTCGTAGTTGTCGCGAGTCATGGGACAGTCGAAGTCCAGTGTGATGGTGGCATTGATATCGATCTCCGGGGGATCTGTCTGGTTTAAGTGGATGCTGTGGATGCCCCTCGGCTTCCTGATGTCGCACAGCAAGAGCACCGTGTTGCCGTGTTCATCCGTCATGTTGAAGGAGATGTTCCACCGGGACAAAGCGGACACATCCTGCAGGGCCAGTCCGCTGTCCCTGGGCTCCTCTTCCTCCTCCTCCTCCTCCTCCTCCTCGACCCCGGAGCTTCGGTTCTGTCTCAGAGAGGACTCGATGGAGGGTTTCACACAAGGGACGTCAACCAGCTTGAGGATTTCCCACTTCTGGAACTCCCTGGGGCTGGAGCATGCGGCGCACCACTGGCCACCCTCGTAGGCTTTGTCTTTCTTACACTTCAGGATTCCTGGAACACAGGGGCAGACAGACACCAGTAAGTCGGCTGACCTGAGGGCACGGGCTCCGGCCACAGGACTAAGTGAGTCTTTGATTGCACCTCTAGCCGGCACCCCTGGCTTATCCCAACGGAGAGAAGGACACAGCTGAGTCACCTTCCATGGCTTCATTTAAGACTCCAAATTACACTTTGTTTGGTTTCTGCAGAGTTTGGCATTGAATCCAGGACCTTCACACTGAGCTACATCCCCAGCCCCCTTTTTTAAAAAAGTGTTTTTCATTTCAAGACAGGGTCTCAGTCAGTTGCTGAGTTGCCCAGGTTGGGCTTGATCTTGTGATCCTCCTGCCTCAGCCTCCCAGAGTGCTGGGATTACAGGCTTGCACAAGAGTGTACACCTTTCTCTTATTAAAAACGTCAAATATAACAGCATGCTGGGTTATACCTGTAGCAACCTCATACATCTTGCATTCTCTCTGTCTGTCTCTCTGTGTCTGTCTCTGTTTCTCTGTCTGTCTGTCTGTCTGTCTGTCTGTCTGTGTCTCCCTCTCTCCCTCTCTCTTTTGGTGTCACTGGAGATTGAACCCAGAACCTTCCCACTGAGTGCCTTCTCAAACCCTTTTTTGTTTGAGACAGGGCCTCACTAAGTCACTAACTTGTCCAAGCTAGCCTTCAACTTGCCATCCTCCTGCCTCAGCCTCCCAGAACATCGATATTGCAGGCATATGACATTATGCCCAGCTTACCATGTCTCTTGATCACATTAAGAATCCACATGCAATGACAGAGACAACCACCCATGTTTATGTGAGCACATTGTAGCTTGTTCCCATTATGACATAAATCATCTCTTAATGATGTAGTTCTCAGAAAGGATCCCATTAGCTAATCAGCACGTGCCCACACTTAGGGAATGATATGCACCAACTTTTCCCAGTATTCTTAACTTAAAAGCAGCCATTCCTATACATGGTGCAGTTTACCTCCTGCAAAAGCCCCAGAATAATTTAAATAACTGGAACCCAGGAAAATATTTCCAGGTGAAGGACTGATCTTTGGCATGAATCATATACCAGTTATTTTTTTGTTTTTCTTATACTACTGAGAACTGAACTAAGTACCTTTGGGCTGAGCTACATCTTCAGCGCCTTTTCAAATTTTTTTAAAATTTTGAGATATTGTCTTACCAAGTTGCCCATGCTGGGCTTGAACCTGCTGTCCTCCTGCCTCAGCCTCCCAGAGTGCTGGGGTGACAGGTATGCAGGGCCATCCACCAATCTGCACGGTGAGGACCCCCATGTCTCTCCTGCTGTTCTAAACACTTTCTGTATCCTCACTCCCCGTCTGCTGGACTTGTGATTTTTAGACCTCACGATGCCTCCTCCCAGGTCATCTACAGAAGAAACCCAGTTCCAAGCCCAGCCTGGTCTCGCCTTGTGTCAGCAGCCATAGGGGCCGCCATCTTCCCGTGTGGGGAAAGGACAGGGAACGGGAGAGCTGTGGGCAGACTCCTTGGAATGCACCTTCTCTGCATCCCCTGCAAGAATGCACCAGTCAAACCATACTTTATGCAACCAGGAGGCTCACAGCCCTTCCCGGAGGACTTCGCTGTGTGGTGTTTTGCTTCCAGCAACAGGGTTTCCCACGTGGCCCTGAGGGAAATCAGCTGGAAGTGCGGTGAGGATCGCTTCCCAAACCTGTCCCTCACACTCAGCCAGTCCTCCTTGTCTGTCAGTCCTGCCGTCCCAGATCCAGCCAACCCAGGATGGAACGTGAGTCGGAAATCAACTGCATCGGAACTAGAACCAAACATCTACAGCCCTATAACACTTTTTTTTGTTTTTGTTTTTTTTTTTTTTTTTTTTGGCTTATGAGCATTCCCCAAACAATCCAGTCTGAGAACAGTTTCCACGGCATTTAGATTACACGGGATATTCTAAGGTCCTCTGTGGGTATGTGAAGACAACCGGAAGAAGCAGACGCAATGTAGGTTGGTGGCCTGGCCTCTCCCATTCCGTCCCCGGGGGAGGGGGCTAAGTGAGCCACACTGGTGAAGGAGCACAGTGGTGTTATACAAGGGACTTGAGAGGGGAAGCCCCCCAAAATATAAAGAGCAGAACAAAAGGGGGGTAACGGCAAGCAAGGAGATAGAGCTTTGTGAAACGGAAAAGAGAAAAAGAGATTGGGCGAGAAAGAAGGGAAGAGCATGGGAGAAATAATCGAGGAAAGAATGCAGGAGTGGAAGACCCTTTGCAAATAAGAAGGGGACGAGAGCGGAACTCAGGGGTGCATGGGAGGAAGGGGGATCAGAAAGGACTGGAGCTGCCTTCTGTGCATGTGCGCGCCCACCCCACACAAGGGGCATGGTCCTTCCGCACTGCACAGGCGGGCCCCAAAACTAAAAAAGAAGGAAATGCATCTAGAAGGTGGAAGCGAATTCCTGATGGACACCGAGGGCTGACGGCTTGGGCTCAGGCACACACGCATGCACTACAGTACACGCGTGTGCACACAGACACATCCGTGCACACCCCTTCCCACCCTGGCTCCCTCACGCAGCCTCTGAGCCTGCAGATCCTCCCCCAAAATGCGCGCTCTGTGATCAGCCCTCTGCACAACATCTCACTGATTGCACTTGCAGATTGCAGCGCAAGGTCTTCCCTTCCAAGTGGCGACATTAGCAGGTGTGTTTCCCACCTTGCCAATCCAGGGCTGGTGTCAGCCAGTGCCAAAGGAAGGAAGCGACGTGAAAAGCTTGGAGGATGGATGTTTTGCTGATGCCCAGGAAAGGAAGGTGGTGGCAGCTGGGCGTCCCTGCAGCTGAATGCTGCTGCCCTTACCTTTGGATCTGAGGGTCCAGTCCAGAAACCACGTCATGGTGCAGTCGCAGGACCAGGGGTTCCCGTGAAGGTACAGGTTCTCCAAGACAGGCATGGTCTGCAGGACGCCGTCGGGCAGCCTCTGCATGGCATTCTCCGCCAGGTATAGGTGACGGATGGTGGACAGCCGGAAGTAGTCCAGGAAGGTGAAGGTGGAGAAAGTCCCCGGGTGCAGCTGGTGGAGCAGGTTTCCTTCCAGGTGGAGGAGCCGCAGCGACAGCAAGCCGTGGAAAGCTTGCGGATGGATGAACTCGATCTTGTTGTGGTCCACGTGCAGCCGCATGAGGTTGGAGAGGCCCTGGAAGGTCTGTCTGGTGATCACGCGCAGTTTGTTGTAGCTGAATTTGAAAACCTACAGGGAGAGAGAGGCAGAGACAGAGACGGAGGAAGGGAGAGGGAAAGGGAGAGGGAGAGGGAGAAGAACAAAAGAACAATGAGGAGGAGGAGAGAGGACAGGTAGAGGAAGAAGACGGAGGAGGAGAAGAGGAGGAAGAAGAGAAAAAGAAAGAGGAGGGGAAGACAGGAAGGAGGGGA